CTTGCCGCCCACCCCCACCCCGGGGTGAGCTGAGCCAACCACCAAGTCTGGGCACAGTGGCTCACACCTGTAATCCCAACACTGGGGAGGCAGGAGTCTGAGCTGTGTAGTGAGACCCTGTACCAAATACATTTTTTAAAAAATAACAAAAAACATCTCAGAGCCAGGTGTGGTGGCATGCGCCTATAATCCCAGCACTGCAGGAGGCTGAGGCAGGAAGATGACAAGTTTGAGTCCAGCCTGAGTACCCACAGGCCTGAGACCTTCTTCCCATGACAGCTGCCAGCACACAGGACTTCCCAGCCACCCTCGCAGCCAGGTGCCCCTCCAGGTACTGCACCTGTGCCAGATCAGTACAATCTAGATGGTAAATGTCCCTGTGACATAAAGGAAGAGTTAGATGTCAAATATATTGAGTTTGTGTTCCCCAAAGTCAAAGAATGAATTCTAAAGAACAGAGGTTAAGAGTTGGAAAATGTATTGGAGAAAAGGAATGGGGAACAGGGATGGCTCCTGAGAGACTGGAGCGGTCCCACGTGGGTTGCCAATGAGCCCTCCTCTCAAAGGAAGTTTTATAAAGCAAAATCATGAGGCAGGTACAACGTGGGTCAAAATTAAGATGGCAAGTGTAGTCGCTTAGGTATATTGATCTAACAGTAGGGAGAGTACATGGATGACATCGTTATCATTGGCCAATAATCTGTAGTCTTAGTAGGTGCAAGAGGATGGCTCACCCCTAATGGAATGATGGGAAATCTCAAAAAGGTGACACCAAAACTCCCAAGCCTTAGGGAAGTATGTGAAACTAGTCATGGTGACTTTGATCTCCAGATGCGCCTCCAGCCAGTGCTGGCAGATTCTCGGAGTCTCGCCTTCTGCACTGACTCCCTCGGGGGCCCAGCACTGTCTGACTGCCTGCTAAATTTCTACCTAACTTAGCTGTCTATAATATCTGACACCCATGATAAAGGCTGGTCCCCACGGTGGGACGACTGCGAGATGGTAGGACCTTCAGGAAGTAGAACTACTGGGATCCCCTGAGGGAGTATGCCCTTACCTGGGATTGTGGGGCCCCAGCCTCCCCCAACTTTTGGTGGCACTAGAGATTGAACCCAGAACCTTTACTGCCCACCCATGTCCTTTATTTTTATTTTTATTTTTTTATACAAGGTCTCACTGTGCAGTTCGGACTGAGATTACAGGCGTGTGCCACCACACCTGGTTCCGGGCCAGCATGGCACGCCTGGGGTTCCAGGGATCGAACTCAGGACCTTGTGCTTGCTAGGCAGGTACTTAGGCTGCCAAGCTATCTTCCCAGTCCCCACCCATGTTATTTTGAGATAGAGTCTTATTAAGTCACTAAATTGCCCAGGCTGGGATTGAATTTGGCATCTTCCTGCCTCAGCCTCCCAGAGTGCAGCGTTACTGTTGTGCACTTCTCCTTCCTCAGCTTCCTGTTCCTGTGTGTGAGCAGCTCTGCTCTGCGCATACTCCCACTGTGATATGCTGTCCCACAAAGGCAAAAACTATGAGGTTGCTGGATCACGGCCTGGACCCTCCCCAGCCCTGAGCACAAGAACCTCTTCAGCTCTCCCTCTGTAAATTAACTTCTCAGCTATTTTGTTATAGGCAAGCATAAGGTTTGACAAAACTATGACCAACCAATAAGATTGCAAGTAAAGTCACTTAGGTAACATTCATCCAATGAGGAACCAAGCCACGTAGCATGGAAAGAACAAGGACCTTTTTGAAAGGATGGGTCAGGCGGTCCTGGTCACCCACTGGGATGACTGATGCCTATTTAGGGAATGGAGCATTACTGTTTATCCCTGGGGAGGTGCGCAGGTGTAGTTATTCACCTTTATCTTCAGGCCTGGCCTTCAAGGAATGTGCCTGCAGCCAGTTTTTCTGTGTTCTGGCCTTCTGCACTGACTCCCTTCAGGGCCTGATCCTGTCTGACCACCTAGAATTTTTCTACCTAGTTTAGCTGCCTGTAACATCAGAAGTTAGCCCCGATCTCTGAGCTCCCCAACCTCATTCAAATGTTACCATGGGTCAGTTCTCACTGTTTGCAGCTGAGAGCGCTCAGCGTGGAGGGTTCCTGGGCCCCTGCGGGCTCTGCCTCCTTGACAGCTGTCCTGTCGAAACCAACCCCAGCAGCCTGGACACTGGAACGCAGCTCCACCCAGTTACAAATGACTAAGAAATGCGCAGGTTTGGAGAGGAAAGGGCGTGAGTGACAAAGCTAAGGAGGGGCGAGGATGGGGCTGCTGCTGCTGCTCTTTTCCCCTTGATTACGCTCAGGGAAGAGCCAGGTGGGAAGGGGCACATATGGTGAGATTCTGTCTCTTTTTTCCCTCCCATTCCTCTCTCTCTCTTTTTTTTTTTTTTTTTTTTTTTTTTTTTTTTTTTTTTTTTGGTACTGGAGATGAACCCCGGGGTTTTGCACTGAGTTACATCCCCAGCACTTCTTTTATTTCTTTTTTTGAAGCATGGCCTGAGTTGTTACATTGCCCAAGCTGGGCTAGGATTTGTGATCCTCTTGTCTCAGCCTCCCAGAGTATTACAATCACAGGCACAGGCCACCATGCTCAGCTTCATTATATATATAAAGTATATATAAAGCCAGACGTGGTGGCACAAGCCTGTGATCCCAGCACTAGGGAGGCTGAGGAAGCAGAATCATTGCAAGTTTGAGGCCAGCCTGGGCTGCAAAGTGAGACCCTGCCTCAAAAAAATAAAACAAGAAAAAGGTAGATACAAAATGCCTTTAGTAGGGGGCCAGGGAGATGGCTCAGTAGGATAAGTGCTTGACTGGCAAACGCAAGGATCTGAGTTCAATCCCTGGTTCCGCAAAAAAAAAAAAAAAAAAATGCCTTTAGTCAACAAATTCTTATTGTGCATCTATCAGGGGCTGGCACTATGCAGACTCTGGGTGCCCTGGTGGGCAAAACCAGGCACGGTTGGTCTCCACCCTCTTGGACTTTTTAGTTTAGTTGGGGACATGCAAAAGCTGCTGACTTCAGGGGCCAGGGAAGTGGCTCAGTGGTAGTGTGCGTGCTTAGTACGCCTGAGGCGCTGGACTCAGTTTTGAGTACCAAACCTCAGAAGAAAAATCACACTGGAAAGGAAAAGCACAGGGCTCTAGGAGACAAGAGAGTTGCTGGCACGGAGGAATGCACGAACGGCTTCAGAGCCAGGTGGAGGTGCAGCGTAGAGAGGGGAAAGTGTGTGCCAAGGGCCTGCAGCCGCAGAGGCCAACTGAGGGCCTTTAGGGCTGGGCCATGGGGAGGAAGGGGTCCTGGGCCCTTGAAACCCAGATGGAGAGTCTAGGTTCTGCCCTTGCAGTGCAGAGTCCCTGAAAGTCCAGAGCTGAGACGTAATGGGGTTGGGGTTATAAACTGGGCCCTCTGGACTAGGAAGGGAAATAGGTGTGGGGTCAGGAACAGGAGTGGGAGCCAGTGAGAAGCCAGCTGCTCCCCCCAGAGAGGCCAGACTGGTGGTCTGCGACTGTGGGGTCACAGGAGACCTGGATGGTTCAGAGCAGGGAGGACAAGGAGCAGTGGCGCCCATCGCCCCCTGCTGTGTTTTCCTGATTCTGGGCCCATGAGTCACTGCCCCACCAGTCTCCCGCTTTTCCTTTTTCACGATGAACTTGTTTTTAAGCACTGAGCCATTCACTGACAGGCCAGCGGATTTCAGGGCACTCCCCCAAATCCACAACGCCACACTGACTCCAAGCGTTCTTACATACGGGCCTTGTTCTCTGTTCTGCCAGATGCTGTCACAAGCTGGCAGGGTTGGCTGTTGCTCTGCTTGCTTGCACGAAACACTGGGCAGAATACCTGGCCTGGCTCCCCAGTGCGGCCGTGTGCGCGCCGGGCAGTGACCCTGCAACTCTGTGGTGTCTTGGAATGGTGACCTGAGCAACCCAGGGTCCCCTGCTGACCCAAGGTAGGCTTTAGCTGCATAAAGGATTCGCTGCCTGAGGACCACACCAGCTGTTAGGAGGATGTCCTCAGAAGCCTGGCTCTGGGGGTCTGCAGAGAGGCAAACTGGGGCAGTTGGCACTGGCACTGGTAGAGCAAAATGTGTGTCAGAAAGCCAGGCCTAGCTGGGTGTGGTGGTGCATGCCTGTCATCCCAACTCTTGGGGAGGCTGAGGCAGGAGAACTGCAAATTTGACCTCAGCCTGGGCAATTTAGCAAAACCTACTTAAAATAAAGGAAGGAAGGAAAAAAAGAAAGGGAGAGCGTAAAGGAAAGACAGAAAGATGACAGAAAGACAACACAAACAGAACCAGGTGTGGCCTCCTAGCTCCTGCTCTCAATTGCTATGGCCACTGAACATTCCTTGGGCCCACCCCTTTCTCTTCAACCCCCTTGTCTACTCTGGTTCAGGCCTGTGCCTCTGCTGGATGGGAAGGTTTACCTCTCCTCCTCAGTCCTTGTCCCTAGGGAAGCTCCCTTTGACTCTCAGTACGGAGGGTCAAAAGTGCCCCTCCAGGCGACCCAGGGCTATGTTTCAGTCCCTCCCTAGTGTTGCTATGTCTGTCAGTTTGGTGACAATTTTAACCCCCGAAGGCCCCAGACCCTCTTAAAGTCAGAAGCTGTTTGAGGGTGGGACACTGCAGGCTCCTAGGGGGACAGAGGGCTCTAGGCCATACCTGGCTCAGAAATAAGCATGAGGGATGCCAAGATGCAGGCTGTGGTCTGTCCAGCTCCAAACTGAACTTTAGGCCCCAGGAGGATCTGCTCATCGCTTTGTAAACACCTCTGTGTGCTTCCTGTTCCACTCTCCAGAGCCAGTTCAGTGTAGGTCAGCTCTGTCGTCCAACCCCCAGGCCCAGCGTCCTAAGGCTCCTCAGTAGCAGGATTTCCAAAGTAGCTGCTTCAGGTGGCTTCCGGCCGGAGGTCTCTGATGCTGCCAGACCCTGAAATCCTAGAGGGGACTTCCTCCGTGGTCTAGGAGGAAGGAAATGCACAACCAAGGACGACAATCAAGGGCACTTAGGGTAGCCCGGGGCTACACGACTCCAGTCACAGAGGAGGCCCAGACACATTTATTTACCTTCAAAGAGGGCAAGCAGGGTGTCCAAGGAGACACAGGGTGGCTAGCTAGACAAAGTGTGCACGTGAGTCATTCCCTGAACTCCAGTTTCCCTCTCTAGCAAACCACAGCGGAGGTGTGTATTGAAGGGAGCACAGTAGGTCCTCAAGCAGGGGGGCGGAGCTACGGGCAGGAGCCCGCATGCGCATGAGCCTATAGCGGGCTAGCCGCGATGCACTGGCGCCCTCGCGTGGCAATGCGGGAACTACCGGCCTTGAGGACGGGGCGGGGGGGAGGGGGGGGATCGGCACTGAGACTTTTCCAGGGATGGGAGTCTCTTGATCCCGAGAGAGCCCACTGCAGCGACTGCCTTGAGGGAGTGTGAGCTAGAAGGCAAGAACAGTGTGAAGGTGTGACAAACCCGCAACTATACGAGGTCACGTTGGGACACATGGTTGTCTAAGATCCAGAGCAGGAAGACCCCAAGGTCAGGACCAGCTCACCTGAGCCCCAGGCGCTCAGCAGAGGATGTGAATGTGAGTGAGCAGAAGGGCGTGAGCCTTCCGCGTGTGGCCGGAACCTGTAACTAGATGATCCTAATGTCTGTCTACACTTCCTGACTCTGCCTCTGAGTCCCCTTCCTTCTCCCCAGGAAAAGCCAGTACCCAGGGACGATGGAGATGCCCATAAAGTCTGCGTCTCAGCCCCAGCTTTTGGGTGAGATGAGGGGGGCTCAGGCCTCACAGGCTGTGGATGGGCCCAGCCCGACCCCCTACTCAGGCCTCTAGAGCATGGCTGGGTCTAGTTGCAGCTGCTGGCCCTGAAGTTAGTGAGTGGGCACTGAAGTTATGATTTGGGAGATGAAGCACCCTAAAAGCACAAGTGGGGATAGCAATCAAGGGGTCATCTCAGGGCCTCAGTTTCCTCCTTGTGATCAGGTCCACTGCTTCCCGGCCCAGCCGCAAGGAAGGTCAACAGAATAGGGATGGGGACGGGGCAGAGTGGGATGCACAGTCTGGGGCAGGGGACAGCCAGGGCACTCCAAGAAGTTGGGATGCCCTGCAGAGAGGCCTGGGGCACAGGGGCCAGGCTAAGGGCTGAGGCTAGGGAGCGGGTCCAGGCCTGGCTCACATCCCACGGGCAGTGTGGCAGCCTCACTGGGCGGGATATGGTGGGTCATGTAGCGCTTCCCCATGAAGGAGCCGATCCGCAGCTGCTCAGGGACCTCCTCAGGCCACCACAGGCTGGAGCTGGGCAGGAAAGGAGGAAGCAGTGTTGTGTCCCTGGCCAGGGAGGCTACCAAGTCTGGGCCAGCTACCCATCCCCAGTGCATCAGCAGCCTCTGCTCATGCCTTCCTGCCTCCTGCAGGGGCCACCCTGAGAACTACGCTGGGCCAATTCCCCCAAACTCTCCAGGGCTCATGGAGAAGAGTTAAGGCCCAGGAGAGTGCCTGGCAGAGGACACAGTGAAGGACAGGGCTGGAGTGAGGTGGCCGCTCCTGACCTGCCTTAGATCACCTTCTGTCTCCCAAGTAAGAAGGGGCCTTGTGCAGCTCAGAACCAATGCCGCATTAAGGAGGCTGCCCACAAAGGGATGGTGACAGGCACCGGGCTCTGGATAGGAGAGGGGTCTCCGGGAGTGTCATCACTCACAAGCGCATGGTGGAGGCTGCCAGGAAGGCCAGGAGAAGGAGGCCGGCCAGACAGGAGAGGATGGAGGTGATGACAACCATGCAGCCGCTCCGACGCCCCGGCCAAGTGTCAATGGAACCTGGGGCCTTCCCTGAAACACAGGCTGCTCAGAGGGGACCTCTCATCCCCACTGGCTGGCCTTTCCTCCCTCCCCATCAGGCCTCAAGGCTGGGCTGCCCAGTGAGCCCTAACAGCCTCCAGGGTCCACCACATCCTTCACAGTCCAGCCTGAACTGTCCCTTGGTCTGGCTTCCACTCACCTACACCAGCTGTCCCCTACATTTTTTTTTTTTTTTTTTTTTTTTTAGGGACGGGTCTACAGGGTGTTCAGGGTCTCACTACTAGATTGGACTCTTAGTGATCAGCCTGTTTACAGCCTCCCAAGAGCCAGGATTATAGGCACGTGCCACCATGCCCAGTCTCAACTGCTGTCTCAGTGCGCCTTGGGGGTGGGGCCAGCACGGCAGGCCCGGAGATCAAACCCCTGGCCACTGCACCTGCTTGCAGGCACTTTAATCCACTGAGCTATTTGGCCAGCCCTTTCCCCTACATTTTTGGTATCAGGGACCAATTACATCAAAAAGTTTTTCCTTTAGATGAGGGTCTGGATGTGGTTGATGGTTTCTAGGTGATTTAAGCACATTCCATCTATTCTGCACTTTAACATTACATTAGATTCTCATGAGGAGCACGGACCCTGGATCCCACGCACGTGCAGTTCACAGCAGGCGTGAGCACTCCTGGAGAATCTAGTACCCGGCTGAGCGGACTGCGGGCGCTGCAAGCGGAGCTCAGGGAGTGATCTGAGGCTGAGACAGCTGAAGCTGCACTTTCCCTCCACCTACTGTGTGGCCAGTTCTTTATAGGCTATAGACCAGTACTGGCCCAAGGGCATAGACTCCTATTCTAGACCATTCTACTCATGCCAATGCACTGGCCCAGACACAAGCAAAGGAGCTACAAACCTCAAGACTGACCACGTCACCACCCTGCTCCCCAGAGCCTGGCACTTAAGGTCTTCAGATGACAGGATCCCCAATCAACCACTTGGCAGCCCGTCTCCTAGGAAACTCCTACCCCTGACCCCTAGGAGGGGGAGGCTGTTTCTGTCCATCATAGGGCTGGGGCCTGGACACCTAAGGGTTGGCAAATGCTCGGGGATGAACAGAACCACAGGGCGACCCCAGGCCCCACAGTGTGAGTGCCCTGACCCCAGCACTACCTTGGCAGAGCGTAATGGCGTCCGACCACTTGGACTCAGCCTTGGGAAAGCCAGTGACATCCATCAGGAGGAACTTGACACTAAGGACAGGAGGCAGTGGGGGAGCAGGGCTGAGACTCTGAGACATTGCCTGCCTTGGGCAGGGCATCCCCCAAACAGGCTGGCTGGGCCAGGAGAACCCTCTGAGGTCTTTTTGGTCTTGTGGCCTACACTGGCAGCCCCTGCCTGTGTGGACAGTTGCTCTGAAGACAGCAGTCTGGGTTGGGCTGGGCGCCCTGTATGATGTTCAGGGCTGGTGTCCTTGGCTTCCCAGAGAACTGAAGTGCTAGCTCAGGGATGAGGAGGGGTGTGGCCAGGGCCTGGGTACCAAGAACAGAATGAAGAGCCCTGATGGCACAGTATTCTGGGTGGTGGGAGCTCTGGAAAGGGTACACTGGGGAGCCAAGTAGGCCGAAAGGTTGGCTGCTGGGAATGGGGGCAGGGATGAGGCTGGAGGCCTCGCGGGGTGTGGTCATGGGGCGGACAGCTGGGTGAGAGGGCAGCTGAGGCTAGGCTCACCTCTGAAGGCCCTGCCTTCCCCATTCCTCCCCGGCCTCTCCGGCATGGACGCTCCCATCTGGACACCAAGGAGACACTGGCTTTCCCATCCCTGCTCCACCCCAGCCTCAGCAGGCCACTTGCACTCTATGCCTCAGTTTCTTCATCTGTAAAAGGAGGTAGGAAACAGGGTGCAGTGGCAAAAGCCTATATTCCCAGTACTCTGCCTCTCCCTGGGCCCAGCCCAACCTCTGGGCAGGGCGGGAGACTGGGACCACCAACCTGTAGGGCCCTGGGCCAGGGAGGGGTGCATTGCAGTAGGGCTCCTGTTGGCAGCTGAAGTCATTGCCCACTCGGAGCAAGGGGACCCCTCCACTGCCACCCCGCGGGTCCTCACAAGGCAGCCGATCCGGGGACAAGGGCAGAGTCATGTAGTGGCCGTCAGTCAGCAGCTGTGGGGAAGCAGGGATCTCGGCTAAGCTCCGTGGGTTTTGGAAGTTCCTGGAGGCTGTAGGACAGAGGGACAGACAGATTCGGGGACAGGAGAGACAGGCCTTGTCGTGGTGACCAGCAGGCTGCCTTCACCACAGACAGAGTCTGCAGCCTGGATTCCTGCCCCCTATTAAGTCCAGTGACAAGCCAGGCTTTGGCACCCCCGCGGAGTCCCCCAGGACAAAGCCCTCATCCTCACCAACCCTCCGGGGGCTTCCAGTTGGCACTCTACAACTGCAGGTATTGGCGAGGGGCTCCCCACAGCTTCCCTTGGGCCCCCACCCCCAGCCTGATGAACCAGACCCACACCGCACACCATTGCTGAAGGCCACCACCAGCCAGATGGTGTCACTGGCACCAGCATGCCCATCAAAGACGCATCGGGGCTGCTCGAGGGAGAACGTGGTGGCAGTGACCCTCCCTTCCAGGTCCCAGGCTGTGATCTGCGGCGTGTAGGGGACCAGCTCTGTGGCCATGGGGGACAAAGGTGAGCAGTGAAGGTCAGCTTGAGAGCCCCAGGGACCCCTGTCCCTGGGACTGCCAGTTCCAGTTCAGGGGCTGCCAGGACCCAATCCCTGCAGCTGGTGCCCGGCACCTTGGTTCCTCCCTGGACCCCAACTCACCCAAGCACAAGCTGGGCTGCAGCCACAGCAGCACCCAGAGGAACAGCAGCCCAGGGTGAGGCTGCCTCCAGGGAAGCCCCATGACCACGGTGACGGCTGAGCACTTGAAGCTAGGGGGCTGGTCTGGCCGCCTCAGGCTGCACCCTGCCCCAGCCCCTGGGCCTGGAGGAGCTGGTTCGTCAGGCTGCCAGGGAAGGCAGGAAAGACCTGTACACAAGCACCCCACTCCTCCTGTGGCCCAGCCCAGTACTGAGAGGGGGCTGGGTGGGTTCCAGTGTGGGAGGGCCAGTGCCAGGGCTGACTGCATACTTCAGGCTCCAGGCTGTATGGGTCCCTCCCCCAAGCCTCCCAGGCAAGAGGAGGGCCTGCTTGAAAACTTGGGCTCCGGGCCACATGCCTAGGATTCCTGCACCCGAGGTGCCTGGAGCATCATCCTCTGGGTGTCCACCCCCACAGGGGAGAGGAGAGGGGCCGGCCCTACCCTGCCCACTCCAGCCCCAGGATCCTGAGCCCCAGCCTCATTCCCTTGCACAGAGAAGATCCCTGGGGGCGAGGCCAGTAGAGCCCTTAGAGACAGGCCCTCCATTCAGCTGCCTCAGGCCACTCCCTGTGGGGGGTTTTTTTTGGCGGAACCAGGGATTGAACTCAGGCCCTTGCGCTTGCCAGGGAAGCACTTATTCCACTGAGCCATCTCCCTGGCCCCTACCTGTATTTTAGCTGTCAGTCATATGCTGTAAAACTCACATCTCAGTGATTGCTCATAGATTCCCAGGGCTATGCTGTGGTCACTTCCTTTACCAGGAAAGCAGACACTATTTCTTCACCCCTCACCCCGTTTCTCTTGCCTTAGCAAGGCTCAGCTCTCTCCGTAAATTTGCTATTACAGGTCTCACGAGCACAGGATCACAAACGCCGCACTGCCCACATATGGCTTCTCTCAGCACTTGGCAGGGGTCTGTCCATGGTGCAGCCTGTGGCAGGGCTGGTTTTTTATTTGTATCGGGATTCAAACTCATGACCTTGCCAGGCAGGCACTATGTCACTGGGATATATCCCTGGCCAGGATCTGCTCCTTTTTAAGGCTGAGTAATAGTACGTCACCTGGATGGCATGTTTTATTGGTTTATGAAAGGTGCATATTCAGGTCTTTCAACTTTGCTGTAAATCACCCAGCAGCACACATTTGCAAAATTGCCCAGGGTATGTCCCTGGAATTGCCCGCATGGTCACCCCCTTTTTGAGGAACTGCCTGTTCCCCAAAGCAGCTGCATTTACATGCCCACCAGAACAGGACAAGGGCCCAGTTTCTCCACACCCTGAGGCTATTTCATCTTGTAGTATTAGGGATTTGCATTTCTTGACTTTTTTTTTTTTTTTTTTCAGAACTGGGGATTGAACTCAGGCCCTTGTGCTTGCCAGGGAAGCATTTATTCCACTGAGCCATCTCCCCAGCCCTTTTTTTTTTTTTTGTTCTGGGAATCAAACTCGGAACCTTGCACTTGTCAGGCAGGTGCTGTGCTGCTGAGCTGTACCCCCAGCTCTTAAGGATTTGCAAAGAGAAATCTAGTCAAGTCCTTTGCTCCTGGTTGTTTTGGTTTCTTGTGGTGCAGGCACTGAGCCCAGGCCCCTCCTTGGCACATACCAGGCAAGTGCTCTACTTCTGAGTTACACCCCTGGGTGCTAGCCATTGTCTTCCCCCACCCAGTACTGGAGATTGAGCCCAGGGCCTTTGCACTGAGTAACTTTCCCAGCCTTTTTTTAGACGTTTTTGTAACAGGGAATTACTAAGCTGCTGAAACTGGCTTTAATTTGCGTTGCGAACCCCCTGCCTCACCCTCTCAGAATGCTAAGTATGTACCATCATGCCTTACCTGTTTTGCTTTTAGTATCAGGGATTGAACTCAGGACCCTTGAGCTTGCTGAGCAGATGCATATGCCACTGAGCTATATCCCCAGCCCTGGTTTTGTTTTTTGAGACAGGGTTTTACCACACAGTTCAGGCTGGCTTCAACTCACTACAGAGCCCAAGGTGACCTCAGACTTGTAGTGATCCTCCTGCCTGAGTCTCTTGAGTACTGAGATTATAGACATGTAGCTGAACCACACCCAAGAAAAAGGGACACAGCAGTTCATGCCTGTAACCCCACACTCTGGGAGGCTGAGGCAAGAGGATCACAAGGTCAAGGCCATCCTGGGAAACTTAAAAACTTTGTGAGACCCTGTAAAAAAATTTTAAAAGGGCTTAGGGAAGCGATAGTGAACCTTTAGGAATCCTTTAGAGCTTTCAATGATACAAATGGCCCATTGCAGCAGGCATGCCATAGGCTGGCCACCACTGGTCTGGGGATGCATAGCTCAGTCTGAAGGTCCTGGGTTCAATCCTGAATACAAAAAGTTAAAAAGTGAACTTTCAGGTGAAGAAAATGCTACAATTATTAATATACTCTTTGTACTGATGTGTTGTGAAACTTTTTTTTTAAAGGGGCTCACAGACAAAAGTGCCTCTGGCCAGTGACAGCCATAATGTGGCCCTGGATGTCCCCCAACCCTGGGTCACAAGGGTGTCTGCCCCTCCTGGGGCCTGAGTCTCTGCCACCTGACATGCACAGCACCTTTGGACCTCCTTCCTCTTCTGTGACATGGGACAGCAGGATAGTCCCCATATGAAGCTGTTTGATAGGAGACTCCTGGGGAAGAGGGATGAGAGGCTCCACACACAGCGGGAGAGGAGGTGAACAGGCTGAGGACGCGGTGGCCACCCCGTGGTCTGGGCATCCCTTTATTAGGGGGCAGGCACAAATGTAAGGTGCCTGTCTCAGGTCAGATCTCAAGCACACATGCGTACACCAGGCCTGCGAACTGGCTACAAGGCCTTTATTGCAAACAAACTGTGAGGTATAAGAAGTGGGCCCAGGGCCTGCACCCACCTGGCTGGGGAGGACCGACCCCTCTCCTGCCAGGCCTCGTGCGGGGGCCCAGAGCAGCCTTAAGGACATGGCCGTCCCTGATGAGGTAGCTGCATCCTAAGGCCCCCAAGTCCTCCTCCCAGGGCTGCCTAGCGCCCAGAGATCCCTGCCTGAGGGGAGCAGGAGAGGCAAGCAGAGCCGGCTTTGGGAGCTGCCCTCGACCTGCGTTCCAGAGTCTCAGGAAAAGCACCTTCCAGCAGGGGCAGCCTTGGGGTGCTGTGGTCATTGCTGCTCCAGGCAGTCCTCGGTCACCCCTTGTGCGGCCAGCTCGGCCAGCACATTCTGCAGGTAGTTGGGGTCGGGGTAGCCGTGGCCTGTCACGTTGCGGTCCATCTCTGTCTTGTGGTGGATCTCATTCCACACCACTGTGTCTGTCTCGCCTGTGGTGCTGGATGTCCCGATTGTGAAGATGAGCCGCCTCTTCCAGGCGACCCTCAGGAGCTCCAGAACCTGCATGGAGGGATGGGGATGAAAGAGGCAAGAGAGGGACAGAGGGAGCCCGGTGAAGAGTGTACCAGGGGGCCCTGTCCTCTACCCTCCCCGTGAGGTAGGCTCAGCTGGGACTGTGCCCTAAGCTGCCAGAGGGGATCCCCAGGACCCCAGCTGCAGACCCGACAGCACCATGGGGTCTGTCACCAGGCCCAGCTGCCCCATCAAAGTAGTGGGCACTCCACCTACATGACCACTCTGGGCAGAGCCCAGGCAGTGCCAGAGGCGCTCTCTATAACACAATCCATCCCAGACACACTGCCTGCTGCCCTCCCTGCTGGAAACCAACTCTCCGCCTCTGCACAGTCTCTGCTGAACCTCCCAGCAGCCTCCATGCTCGGCCAGCGACAGCAGAGTCATGGAGGGGGTTCCTGGTTCCATCCCCAACAACAAGGGGAACAAAGAGCCAGGGCCCGCCGGCAGCCAGAAGAGTGCTTCCTAGCCAACCCACAGCAGCCCCTCCTGTGGCTTCAGGGTGCTAAGGGTACCTCCTTCCCATGAGCACCCCGCTCCTTAGGGCTGGCCTAGAGGGCAGCCTGTCCTTCAGCCTCTACCCATCTCTGTCTCCTTGTGGGGGTCTCAGGCAGCCAGAATGGCTCAGCTATGGGGTTCCCCAGTCTTCCTGTGGCTTCTCATGACCTGACTCTGAAGAACAGGAAGCCTGGCTTCTGCCCGCTCTGAAGCCTGTGAAGCTGGGGTGCTGCCCCTGGGTCTTCAGTGGGTCCTGGGGGAAGGGCAGTATGCTGACCTTGCCCTCAGTTCTCACTGTCGCTGGCACTAGGTCAGCTGAGGCAGGCAAGGGGCTGATGGGCCTTACCTTGCGGCCCTGGGCGTTGTCTGGGAGGTAGCACTGGCGAGGGAACCCTCTGGCAGTGAATGGCTTCCCAGGGTTGGGGTGTTCAGGACCCTGTAGGAAGAATCAGGATGGGGGGGGGCAGCATAGAGCCATGGCAGCAGACCCCAGCCTCCCTCTGGGTTGTTAGGACACAACTGGCTCCTCTAAGGCGGCAATGAGGAAGGCTTCTCTACCCACATCTGGCCAGCCTCAGACCTGCATGGAGCTGCCTGCCATGCAGCCCAGCCTGCTACCTTCTCTTCCCAGGCAATACCCAGAAGCCTGCGAGAGCTGGCATGGCCCCTCCTACTTCTCTGGTAATCCTCTGGGCACTGGGCCTTTGGGGCCTTCCTGTCACACTACACCCAAGCCACAACTGGCCATAAGAAGTGGCTGGAGAGGTGGCCTACTGGATGGCAAACTGGATAAAAGGGGGAAGAGTGGGACGAAATGGGCCTCGTGCACTGCTGTCTACTGCACAGGGCAAGCCCACAAGTCACCATCCTCCACTCTGTGTCTCACCTTAGTGCAAGTGGTTCAACTGAGAGCACAGAAGGGAACAAGGAAAAAGGCAAGGGGTTCAGATCCCGCTCTGGGGTGGTCATTGCTGCTGTCCAGGGTCCAGCCTGCCACCTTGAGTTAGGGCCTAGAGTGGTTTCTGGACTCCCAGCCTGGGCCCGAGTCTGGTTCCCTGAGCAAGTCTCTCAGGAACAACGGACTGTGTGGTATGGAGCAACACCAGCAAGGTCCATGTAGGCTCCCTGCACAGGAGGTCCCCTTACCTGGATGCCATGGGGAATGGAGTAAACTATGACTATCGTCCCACAGTCCTCGTGGCCAGGGAGTGGCATCTGGAACCTGGACACATCCATCGTCCCCTGGGGTTGGGTGCCAGTTTTCTCCCCATAGATAGTTTTGCAGGAGGGACATTGCAGACTGCCATCCTGGGACAAGAAAGATGCAACAGCTGCATCTGAGCTGCGGCTCCAGGTGAACCTAGACAGTCACCTGGCCTAGATGGCAGAGGAGGTCACCAAGGGCCCAGTGGGCAGAGCTCACTCAGCACCCATGAAGCTTCCTCTCCCAGAAAATGTTTTCCAACAATGAACTGTCCAAAGGTCAGTCTGAGAGCCAGGTGTGACAGTGCTTGCCTGTAATCCCAGCATTTAGGAGGTTAAGGCAAGAGGACTGCCATGAGTTCAGGGCCAGTCTAAACTACATACTGAGACCTTGTCTCAAGAAATCAAAAACTAGGGGCTGGGGAGATGGCTCAGTGGAATAAGCGCTTCCCTGGCAAATGAAAGGGCCTGAGTTCAATCCTGGTTTTGC